CATCAATTCCACTGTGATCTTCACCACCCATCAATGTCACTGTGATCTTCACCACCCATCAATTTCACTGTGATCTTCACTACCCATCAATGTCACTGTGATCTTCACCACCCATCAATGTCACTGTGATCTTCACCACCCATCAATGTCACTGTGATCTTCACCATCCACCAATGTCACTGTGATCTTCACCACCCATCAATGTTACTGTGATCTTCACCACCCACCAATGTCACTGTGATCTTCACCACCCATCAATGTCACTGTGATCTTCACCACCCGTCAATGTCACTGTGATCTTCACCACCCACCAATGTTACTGTGATCTTCACCACCCATCAATGTCACTGTGATCTTCACCACCTATCAATGTCAATGTGATCTTCACCACCCATCAATGTCACTGTGATCTTCACCATCCACCAATGTCACTGTGATCTTCACCACCCATCAATGTTACTGTGATCTTCACCACCCATCAATGTCACTGTGATCTTCACCCATCAATGTCACTGTGATCTTCACCACCCATCAATGTCACTGTGATCTTCACCACCCATCAATGTCACTGTGATCTTCACCACCCACCAATGTCACTGTGATCTTCACCACCCATCAATGTCACTGCGAACGCTGCCACCCATCAATGTAACTATGATATCGCTACCACCGCCAACAGCGACGTGAGTTTCGTTTTTAACGAAAACAAACCCACCCCTACTTTGCGCCGCAGCGTCGTAACGTGATTTTACATCCACGTCACGTGATCTCCGCACAGTTGAAATGGGCACCACCCTCTCCACGTGGCAGCTGTCCCTGTGTGGCATAAGGTTAACGCATTTTTGTCACAATTATAAAAAAAAAATTTGACAATTCTTTTACCAATTTTAGTTACAAATGTTTTTTTTTAAATATTTTTTACAATTATTTTTTTTACTAATAAATTAAATTACACATTTTTTACAACAATTTACATTCTTTTAATGTTTTTACATTTTTTTTTACAAAATAAAGAAATTATTACGAATGTAAACAAAAATATGTTTTGCAAAATGTTTAACAACTATTTAGCAAAATTAAATGTTTCGTTTTAAAATTTGTACAATTTTTTGTTACAAATGTTTTAACTTAAAAAAAAAACTTTTCGACAGTTAAAAAAAAAAGTTTTAACTTTTTTCGTGCAATTCTTTTTCAACAAATCCTCGTCGCATTTTTCACAATTCTTCTCCATTTTATCTCGCGATGTATTCGCATCAAAAAAAAAAAATTGACACCAGGCAAAGCCCCACCGACACTACGTTAAGCTCCTCTTCCCGGAATATTTTCTGGGCGCACGTTTCGAAGAATCAAAAGATTCCGAACCCGTGGTGTCACGCCAACGTTCTAAACGGGGAGAGAGCCCTCCGGCCGAATCCAAGTTGCGACCTTGCTCACGCGAGAGTCCTGCAGATCACTCGGGGGTCGCAACGGCGACATCGTCTCGCTCCTTCATCGTAGGGCTCCCGGTGTGTCGGTGTGCTACCGCCGGTGGTGACGGTGCCACGCCCACAGCCATCCCGAGCGCCGCCCGGCCGGGCTCGACTCGCGGCCTAGGCTCGCATCGGTGGCGGAGAACGGAACCCTCGCCTGCCGGTGGCGTGCGAGTGGCCACCACCACGGTGGCTATGAGATGTTGACTACCTCGCCCGGTGTGCAGGAGGTCGTGGGTTCGATCCCGACCCTGACGCCTGCTGCTGCTGTATATTTGGAGTTTGCGTGTCTCTCTCTCTCTTTCATCATCATTATCACGGTGGCTAGGAGATGTTGACTACCTCGCCTGGTGTGCAGGAGGTCGTGGGTTCGATCCGGACCCTGACGCCTGCTGTGGATTTGGAGTCTGCGTGTCTCTCTCTCTCATCATCATCATCATCACGGTGGCTAGGAGATGTTAGCTTCCTCGCCTGGTGTACAGGAGGTCGTGGGTTCGATTCCGATCCTGACACCTTCTGGGATTTGGAGTTTGAGTGTCTCTGTCTCTCATCATCATCATCATCACGGTGGCTAGGAGATGTTAACTCGCTCGCCTGGTGTACAGGAGGTCGTGGGTTCGATTCCGACACGGACGTGCCTGCTGCTGTATATTTGAAGTTTGCGTGTCTCTCTCATTATCACCACGGTGGCTAGGAGATGTTAACTCGCTCGCCAGGTATACAGGAGGTCGTGGGTTCGATCCCAACCCATGACGCCTGCTGCTGTATATTTGGAGTCTGCGTCTCTTTCTCTCTCCCCGTGGTCGCGTGGAGTTTTCTCCAGGGTCCCCTCCGGGTTTTGTTTATTTTCCCCCTCCACATTTAGAATCGACGTCACGCGCTTGAGAGTAATTCGGCTGCCGCTACACGAGCGTCCACACGATGATGATCATGATGATGATGATCATCATCATCATGATCATCATCAAGAGCACCGCTTCGTTTGAGCCATCATTTGTTATGGTCAGAGTCGCTCCTGAGACAAGAGCTACAACAGAGGTCAAGTGGGGCCTTACACCCGGTCACATAAAAACATTGTCTTAGTTGAATAGTTTGAGAATTGTCATCTCTCAACAACAACAACGACAACAACAACAACGACAACAACAACGACAACAACAACAACAACGACAACAACAACAACAACGTGGTCGTCAGATGCCGGCAGTGTGACCAGCTGGGCGGCCTGGCAGGAGGAAGGAAGCGATGGTAGGCGTGGGGTTTTTACTGCAATGAGCTCGTGGCTGAGTTGACCTATTGACCTTGACCTGTTTCTATTTTTAGATCCTCCTCTAATTGGGCTTCTCGAAGCGCAGGGAAATGAACTCAAGGCCTCAAGATGACTGCAGCAGGGTGGGGGGCTGGGGATGAAGGGGGGGGGAGGGCAGGTTTGGGCGGGGGGGGGGAAAGAAGGGGGCGGGGTTCGTGGGGCTGGGAGAGAAGGGGGCGGGGTTTGGGGAGGGTGGGGGGATGGGAGAGAAAGGGGGCGGGGTTTGGCGTTGGGGGGCTGGGAGAGAAGGGGGCGGGGTTTGGGGAGGGTGGGGGGATGGGAGAGAAGGGGGCGGGGTTTGGCGTTGGGGGGCTGGGAGAAAAGGGGGCGGGGTTTGGCGTTGGGGGGCTGGGAGAAGGGGGGGCGGGGTTTGCGGGCGGGGTTTGGCAGTGGGGGGCTGGGAGAAAAGGGGGCGGGGTTTGGGTGGGCGCTGGGAGAGAAAAGGGGGTGGGGTTGGGGGGGGCTGGGAGAGAAGGGGGCGGGGTTTGGGGGGTGTGGGGGGTTGGGAGAGAAGTGGGGGGGGGGGGGGGGGTCAGAGTTACAAGCCGTCAAACCGGTCTGTGAAGTGAGCCTCTAATTATTGTAAATGCCACACAAGCCTAACAACAACATGCCGTGCGATAGTTTATATTTATAAATACAATGCCATCATCATCGATTTATTTTTAGTGGCTTGCTTTTACCTCTGCTCAACAAGTTGCACTCCCGTCGGTGTTTGTTTCGTATCGGCTGTTTGTCGTCGCCGCTGTAAACTCGACGAGCCCCATCGTACCCCCTCGTACCCCCTCGACTGGACGTCTGTGACGAGGAGCTTCGCGTCTCATCGGATTCCTCCTCCTCCTCCTCCACCTCCTCCTTCACCTCCTGCTGCTGCTGTTGTCTTACACGGAAGATTCTGAGTCTGATCGCACGTGGAGGTGCGGCGCGTTTGCCCAGCAAACGTGGAGAAACCGTTGGGCCATCGGTTCCAACCGCATGCCAACGTTGGCGCAACGTTGGGCCAACGTTGGGCCATCGGTTCCAACCGCATGCCAACGTTGGGCCAACGTTGGCCCAACGTTGGGCCATCGCTTCAAACCGCATGCCAACGTTGGGCCATCGGTTCAAACCGCATGCCAACGTTGGGCCAACGTTGGGCCAACGTTGGGCCAACGTTGGACCAACGTTGGGCCAAAGTTGGGCCATCGGTTCCAACCGCATGCCAACGTTGCCCCGACATTGGCCCGACATTGGCTGGGGGAGAGAAGACCCCAGGGGGTGGCCGACGCAGATTAACAAATCGCTGCACCACCTCCTCCTTAGCGAAGACATTCATAATGCAGCTCATTAAGATAATTACTAATCCATGCTATTGGTCCTTCTCTTGCAAATCGCCCCGGGATATCGATCCCAGGTTCGATTGACTTGAAAATTGCTTTTGTTGCGCGAGGGGTTGCAGTGTGAGGGTTTTGTGTGTGGGCCAGTGTGTGTGTGTGTAGGCCAGTGTGTGTGTGTGGGCCAGTGTGTGTGTGTGTGGGTGGGCCAGTGTGTGTGTGTGTAGGCCAGTGTGTGTTTAGGCCAGTGTGTGTAGCCCAGTGTGTGTGTGTGTGGGCCAGTGTGTGTGTGTGTGTGGGCCAGTGTGTGTGTGTGGGTGGGCCAGTGTGTGTGTGTGTAGGCCAGTGTGTGTGTGTGTAGGCCAGTGTGTGTGTGTGTGTAGGCCAGTGTGTGTGTGTAGGCCAGTGTGTGTGTGTGTAGGCCAGTGTGTGTGTGTGTGTGTAGGCCAGTGTGTGTGTGTGGGCCAGTGTGTGTGTGTGTAGGCCAGTGTGTGTGTGTGTGTGTAGGCCAGTGTGTGTGTTGGCCAGTGTGTGTGGGTGGGCCAGTGTGTGTGTGTGGGCCAGTGTGTGTGTGTGGGCCAGTGTGTGTGTGTGTGTAGGCCAGTGTGTGTGTGGGCCAGTGTGTGTGGGTGGGCCAGTGTGTGTGGGTGGGCCAGTGTGTGTGTGTGTAGGCCAGTGTGTGTGTGTGTGTAGGCCAGTGTGTGTGTGGGCCAGTCTGTGTGGGCCAGTGTGTGTGTGTGGCCCAGTGTGTGTGTGTGGGCCAGTGTGTGTGTGTGGGTGGGCCAGTGTGTGTTTGTAGGCCATATGTGTGTGTGGGCCAGTGTGCGTGTGTGTGTGTGAGCGAGTGTGTGTGTGTGTGGGGAGCGGTAGTGTAGTGGTTAGCGCGTTGCGCTACGAACCTGCCGACCCGAGTTCGATTCCCGCTCACGGCCAAAATCAGTGACGATTATTTGAACCGGTCCGGGGCCTTCTACTCAGCCTCAATAGAGTGCGTAGTAAATATCGTCACTGGGGTGAGACAAAGGCGGCCGGGCGTGTTGCTGGCCACCCCCCATCCCCTCTTGTGGCCACTGTGCCGGCCTTCATAGTTGCTGCTGCTGCTGCTCGCGAACAGCACTTGCCCCGACAGTCGGCTGAGGCTACACGGGGGATCTTTACCTTTGTCTGTGTGGGCAGCGACTTCGACGGGCACTCTGGAGGGGCTGGATCAGCTGCAAGGCGGCGTCTGCGAGACGCTGCAGATGAAGGTTGTCCTGCACGTGGGTCAAGGTGAGACTCCACGAGACATTCATCACGGTCATCATCGTTGTCAGGGTCATCATCGTCGTCACGGTCATCATCGTCATCAGGGTCATCATCGTCATCATCACGGTCATCATCGTCATTACGGTCATCATCATCATCGTCGTCGTCACGGTCATCATCATCGTCATCACGGTCATCATCATCGTCATCACGGTCATCATCGTCGTCAGGGTCATCATCGTTGTCAGGGTCATCATCGTCGTCATCACAGTCATCACAGTCATCATCGTCATCATCACGGTCATCATCGTCATCATCACGGTCATCATCGTCATCATCACGGTCATCATCGTCATCACGGTCATCATCGTCATCATTGTCATCGTCATCACGGTCATCATCGTCATCACAGTCATCACGGTCATCATCGTCGTCAGGGTCATCATCGTCGTCAGGGTCATCATCGTCATCATCATCGTCACGATCATCGTCACGGTCATCATCGTCATCATCGTCGTCGTCACGGTCATCATCGTCATCATCGTCACGGTCATCATCGTCATCATCGTCGTCAGGGTTATCATCGTCGTCACGGTCATCATGGTCGTCATCGTCATCATCGTTATTGTCATCATCGTCATCACAGTCATCATCGTCGTCACGGTCATCATCGTCATCATCATCGTCACGATCATCGTCACGGTCATCATCGTCATCATCGTCGTCGTCACGGTCATCATCGTCATCATCGTCACGGTCATCATCGTCATCATCGTCGTCAGGGTCATCATCATTGTCAGGGTCATCATCGTCGTCACGGTTATCATCGTCGTCACGGTCATCATCGTCATCATGGTCATCATCGTCATCATCGTCATCACGGTCATCATCGTCATCATCGTCGTCACAGTCATCATCGTCATCATTGTCATCGTCATCACGGTCATCATCGTCATCACAGTCATCATCGTCTTCAGGGTCATCATCGTCGTCAGGGTCATCATCGTCATCATCGTCATCACGGTCATCATCGTCATCATCACGGTCATCATCGTCGTCAGGGTCATCATCGTCGTCATCGTCATCGTCATCACGGTCTTCATCGTCGTCATCGTCATCGTCATCACGGTCTTCATCGTCGTCATTGTCATCACGGTCATCATTGTCATCATTGTCATCGTCATCACGGTCATCATCGTCATCACAGTCATCACCGTCGTCAGAGTCATCATCGTCGTCACGGTTATCATCGTCATCATCGTCATCGCGGTCTTCATCGTCGTCATCATCATCACGGTCATCATCGTCATCATTGTCATCGTCATCACGGTCATCATCGTCATCACAGTCATCACAGTCATCATCGTCATCACAGTCATCACAGTCATCATCGTCTTCAGGGTCATCATCGTCATCATTGTCATCGTCATCACGGTCATCATCGTCATCACAGTCATCATCGTCATCATTGTCATCGTCATCACGGTCATCATCGTCATCACAGTCATCATCGTCATCATTGTCATCGTCATCACGGTCATCATCGTCGCCAGGGTCATCATCGTCGTCAGGGTCATCATCATCGTCACGGTCATCATCGTCATCATCGTCATCATCGTCATCATCGTCGTCACGGTCATCATCGTCATCAAGTTCATCATCTTTTGATTTAAAGCTTTCGTGACTGCAGTAATTCATATTCTTAGTTCTTTCGGTAAAGTCACGTTGAAGGGAAACAATAAAATATATATGAAACAATAAAAATTCTCACGACGTTTCGACCATAACACAAACCGACACACCTGAAGGCGACCGTTTGTGTTATGGTCGAAACGTCGTGAGAATTTTTATTGTTTTATATATATTTTATTATTTTGTTGTTTCCCTTCAACGTGACTTTACCGAAAGAACTAAGAATAAGTTCATCATCGTCATCAAGTTCATCATCGTCATCATCGTCATCGTCGTCATCACGGTCATCATCGTCATCAAGTTCATCATCGTCATCATGGTCATCATCGTCGTCAGGGTCATCATCGTCGTCAGGGTCATCATCGTCATCACGGTCATCATCGTCATCTTCGTCGTCGTCACGGTCTTCATCGTCATCATCGTCATCATCGTCACGGTCATCATCGTCATCATCGTCGTCAGGGTCATCATCGTCGTCACGGTCATCATCGTCATCACGGTCATCATCGTCGTCATCGTCATCGTCGTCACGGTCATCGTGGTCGTCATCGTCATCATCGTTATTGTCATCATCGTCATCATCATTATTGTCATCATCGTCATCATCGTCATCATCGTTATTGTCATCATTGTCATCATCGTTATTGTCATCGTCATCATCGTTATTGTCATCATCATTATCGTCATCATCATTATCGTCATCATCGTTATTGTCATCATCGTCATCGTCGTTATCGTCATCATCGTCATCGTCGTCGTCGTCATCGTCATCATCGTTGTCATCATCGTCGTCATCATCATCATCATCGTTATTGTCATCGTCATCGTCATAATCGTTATTGTTATCATCGTCATCGTTATTGTCATCATCGTTATTTTTTTAATTTAAAGCTTTCGTGACTGCAGTAATTCATATTCTTAGCTCTTTCGGTAAAGTCACGTTGAAGGGAAACAATAAAATATATATATAACAATAAAAATTCTCACGACGTTTCGACCATAACACAAACGGTCGCCCGAAACGTCGTGAGAATTTTTATTGTTTTATATATATATTATTATTTTATTGTTTCCCTTCAACGTGACTTTACCGAAAGAGCTAAGGATATATATCATCGTTATGGTCATCATCGTTATCGTCATCATCGTCGTCATCGTCATCATCGTCATCATCGTCATCGCCATCATCGTCATTGTCATCATCGTCATCATCGTTATTGTCATCGCTATCGCCATCATCGTCATCATCGTCATTGTCATCATCGTCATCATCGTCATCATCGTCATTGTCATCATCGTCATCATCGTCATCATCGTCATCACGGTCATCATCGTCATCATCGTCATCAACGTTATTGTCATCATCGCCATCGCCATCATCGTCATCATCGTCGTCATCGTCATCATCATCGTCGTCGTCATCATCGTCACCATCTTTGGCGTCATCGTCCTCCTGACCCCCACCCCGTGCCCCACCTGTAGACCCCGGCAGGAGCCCGAGGCCCGAGGAGGAGGGGGAGGGGGAGCCCGGGGTGGGGGCCACCGACTGGGACCCCCCCTGGGACAAGGGGCGGGGCCGGGCGGCCCGGCCAGAGCTGGGAGACGCGGCGCTGTCTGGGGAGACGCACGACGCGGGTGAGGGGTGGGGGGCAGGGAGGGAGGGGGGTGGAGGGGAAGGGATGGAGGGGAGGGGGGCGGGGGGAAGTGGTGGGGATGGAGGGGAGGGTGGCGGGGGGAGTGGGGTGGCCATTACGAATCCCCTCATAGAGAGAGAGAGGAACCAGGCCCAGGGCTTGAACCCAGACCCAGGGCTTGAACCCAGACACAGGGCTTGAACCCAGACCCAGGGCTTGAACCCAGACCCAGGGCTTGAACCCAGACCCAGGGCTTGAACCCAGACCCAGGGCTTGAACCCAGGGCCAGGGCTTGAACCCAGGCCCAGGGCTTGAACCCAGGCCCAGGGCTTGAACCCAGGCCCAGGGCTTGAACCCAGACACAGGGCTTGAACCCAGGGCCAGGGCTTGAACCCAGACCCAGGGCTTGAACCCAGACCCAGGGCTTGAACCCAGGCCCAGGGCTTGAACCCAGGCCCAGGGCTTGAACCCAGACCCAGGGCTTGAACCCAGACCCAGGGCTTGAACCCAGGCCCAGGGCTTGAACTCAGGCCTCTCAGGAGTGCCGGCTCAGTGTCTCTGACGCGGCCGTTGCGAACCCCGCTGAGAGAGACACCCAGACCTAGGAGGGCCTTGCCTGGCCCATGCTCTGAACAACGTCTGGCTCAAGTATCCCGTCGTGTCTCTGTCTACGTGTCTCTGTCTCCGTGTCTCCGTGTCTCTGTGTCTCTGTGTGTGTCTCTGTGTCTCTCTCTCTCCAGTGAGTGGAAACATCTGAGTGCGTGTGTCACACAGCAGGGAGAACATCTGTGCGAGTGTGCGAGTGTCTTTGTGTGTGCGCGTGTATTTGTGTGTGAAGTGTGTTTCGCAGGACTGGAAGGATGCCCTGGTGGTCCCCCTCTTTAAGAAGGGGGACCGCACAGACTGTAACAACTACAGGGGCATCTCACTCCTCAGTGTGCCGGGAAAGGTCCTGGCAAGGATTATTCAACATCGCCTTGCCGGGCACGCTGAGGAGAGGCTTGCGGAGCCCGAATGCGGTTTCAGGAAAGGGCGGTCCTGCACGGATGCCATATTTTCTGCTCGTCTGCTACAGCAGAGGTATAGGGAATTCCAACAAGACCTACATCTCTGCTTTATTGACCTGGTCAAGGCCTATGATACCATCAGTAGGCCTGGGCTCTGAGTCCCTGACCCTCTGCTCACGATCATTAATGACCTTCATGTTGGTGAGCAGGCCCGGGTAAAACTACGTGGCCGGGAGTCGGAGCCATTCCCTGTACACCTTGGGGTGCGACAGGGATGTCTTCTGGCTCCACATTATTTAACATCTATTTTGACCACGTAGTTTGTGAAGCCTTCAATAGCTGTACTGGGGGAATCTCCATTTGGTACAGATATAATGGGAGGCTGATCAATGCCCGGGTGCGGTCAAGGGATGGCTCCCTATTGCTCAACCACGTTATGTATGCCGATGATTTGGTAGTAGCTGCTCATTCAGAGGAGTTGGAGATGCTGCTGCTGAGATTGGAGTGTGCCACTAAGAGATGGGGCCTTACCATCAGCCCCACCAAACTAAGCACCTGCCTGGGTATTTTGTACCATCGGAGACTCCACCCCCACAACTCCCAATCGGTGATGGGGCAGTTGTGGAGAGAGTGGAGAGTTTCCCATACCTGGGCAGTGTGCTTATGACCGGCTCCAGTTTATCAGCAGAGGTCTCACTCCAAATCAGTCGAGCGGCAAATTTTTTTCATCGGTTGCATCACGCTGTGTGGAAGCTACCTGGTCTGTCGTCCCGCACTAAGCTTCAGGTCTTCTCGGCCACGGTCATTCCCTCCCTTCTCTACGCTTGCGAAACGTGGACCCCCCTAATGGAGCATCTTCGCCGGTTAGAAACATTTAGGCTAGCCTGTCTACGATCCATCCTGGGTTTAACCAGGCTGGATTGTGTGAGGAGCTCACAAATCCTTGAAAGATCTGGGCAAGGTCCCATCGGTCAGCTCCGACAGGCAAGGCTGCGTTGGCTGGGTCATGTAGCCCGCATGCCAGCCACCGCATGCCGAAACAGCTTTTATTCGGCCGGATCGATGGGGCTAAACAGGCGCGGCACGGGCTAGAGAAGAGATGGAGTGATGTGGTACAGGAGGACGTCGAGCTGAGTGGACTTGCCGATGAATGGTACCAGCGGTGTCAAGATCGGCCTTTGTGGAGGAGGCTTGTGAAGGACGCTACTGGGCAGTTGGAGGCAGTCGCCCTCCAACAACAACGGAGGGCGGAGGAGCGACGCTCACAACAACGAGCGGAGCACTGGGTGGCTAAAGCACAGCAGTTTGGCACAGTAGGGGGCACAGGTGGTGTATCAGCCAGTCATCTTAGTCAGTCCACCCGTGGCACCTGGGTCTGCCCCGTGACCTCCTGCCCGCGGGCGTTCGCCACTTCACGTGGCCTCAAGGTGCACATAGCCTGGCACAGGCGTCATGGTGACGTCACCGCCACTTAGTGGCGAATGGCGGTTGTTGTTGTTGTTGTGTGTGGCTGTGTGTTTGTGTGTGGCTGTGTATTTGTGTGTGGCTGTGTGTTTGTGTGTGGCTGTGTATGTGTGTGTGGCTGTGTGTTTGTGTGCACACGTATATTTGTGTGTGGCTGTGTGTTTGTGCGTGGCTGTGTATTTGTGCATGGTTGTGTTTGTGGGTGGCTGTGTGTGTGTCTTTGTGTCTGTGTGTGTCGTTGCGTCTGGGTGTGTTAGTGGGGAGCGGTAGTGTAGTGGTCACCGACCGGTGACGATTATCTGCACCGGTCCTGGGCATCCATTAGGTCGACTCAGCCTTAAACGAGTACCTGGTTGCGGTGTCTCAACATCACCACTGGGGAGACAAAGGCGGCCGCCGGGCGTGGTGGTGCTGGCCACCCACCCCCTCGTGTGCCACCGTGCCGGCCTTCACAGGTGCAGCTGCTCGCTAACAGCGCTAGCCCCTACAGCCTATTGGGGCTACTCGGGGTTGGGGGGGGATGTGTGGAATCTTTGCATTTGTGTGCGGAGCAATAGGAATACTCGCGCGCACGTGTTGCACAATAGGGGGCTAACAACTACCAGACGCTGTGGACAGGGGGGTGGAGAGGGAGAGTGGCTGAGTGGAGGGGGGGGTGGTGGTGCAGCGGTTAGCGTGCCGGGCGGGCCAATTCAGTGCCCGCTCACGGCGACGATCCGAACCGGTTAACCTGGGGACTCCCCCCCCCCTAGGTCCACTCGGCCTCAAAGTGAGATCGTGGTGCGAGCTGTAAGGGAGACAAAGGTGGCCGGGCGTGGTGCTGGCCTCCCATGCCCTCGTGTGCCGTGCCGGCCTTCACAGGTGCTGCTCGCTAACAGCGCTTGCCCCAACAGCCTGTTAACGCTGCAATAATTATATGTAATTATATTAAGATGTGCTCACCACTGCACTATATAATAAGTATACTATATGTTAATAATTATACGTATGAAGAGGCCTGCCGGCCCGCCTTGTAGTATGATGATTATAATAATGTTTAATAATATAATAATGGTTATGTTATAATATAATAATTATAATAATAGTCACGACAATTCTATAGCATAATTATCACGTAACAATTATTGTCAAATTGTTACTGTGATCGTCGCGTATAATTATATAATTATATGATATCATTATTGGTTAAGAATTATATTAATAATGCTATAGTTAAGTGAGTTATATGATATAATAATTATATAACAATTAAACTATAATGAGCCAAGTTTGTGCGTAACGCGCGTGACGTCACTGAACATGCAGCACCCCCCCCCCCCTCATTGATATTCATGAGCCCGTGACGTCACTCCACATGCCCCCCCCCCCGTCATTAATATTCATGAGCGGGTGGACTTTTACACTCACGCAGAAGAAGGTCGAGCGAGAATAAATTTTTTTTCGCAAATTCGCTTTAAGTTTGACGTTTCATTTTATTGAAAGTGAATCTCATAAATAATTCTACGCAGCAAACAAAGCGGATTTGGTGTCTTTATTTATTTCTGCTGCACTTTAGACGAAAGGCAAGTCCAATTTATGCTTCTACATCATGGATAAAATAGACATCTCTCGCTGATTTTCCAGATATTTGTATCGAATTCCAATTTATTTCAACCCCGGCGACTGAACGCAGAAGATAATGCAATAATGCAATGAAGTGTTTGATGACTTACTTTTGTGCAAGATTCACTGCCATTGGATTTACACAAGGTACAATTAAACTCTGCTCAACTTTTTCGTAAATATGACAGCTTCCGTCCTAGGATGGGCTAACGAGCCAGAGAATATAAGAATTATATAGGGATTATAAGTATAACAGTATAGATATATGCGACTTATACTGGTAGGAACGAAGTTGTAAACTGAGTGTACCAGCCTGCAATAGATTAATGTGTCCGTCCGTCCGTCCCCTTTCAATACTTTAACGAAGTGAAATCTCGTGCTGTTGGGTGTAAAATCAGCAATAGACAGCGCAGAGACTTGTCCTACCAGCCCACCCTGCAGGGACCTGTTATAATTATATGATGATATAATAATTGTGAAAATTATATCACGTTAATCTATAACAGTTATATAATAATTTAATGTAATGTTTACATAAGGATTATAATAATATACCGATTATATGATGGCGTAATAATCATGTAAAAATAGTATGATGTAATTACTTAACAATTATATGCTAGTTTAACACGTAGGCTTTCGCGACCAATATTATTCATAATAAAGGTTTTTGGGTTAGATCGCGTTTATTTATAAATGTGTCGTAACCCTCCACCACCCGACACGGCCAATCAGCAAAGAAAAGTGTCACGTTGACAAAAGACAAATAATTCACTACTTCAGCCCACCGGTGTGTTGAAGAGTTAATCCACATTTACAGTTTGAGTACGACGTTTCGCTGGTAAATACTTCCAGCATCATCGGGCAATTCGCCAGAATGGTAAAGCCCTCTTCTGCTCTATATAAAACCGGGAGCAAGCGAGGGCTTTACCATTCTGGCGAATTGCCCGATGATGCTGGAAGTATTTACCAGCGAAACGTCGTACTCAAACTGTAAATGTGGATTAACTCTTCAACACACCAGGTGGGCTGAAGTAGTGAATTATTTGTCTTTTGTCAACGTGACACTTTTCTTTGCTGATTGGCCGTGTCGGGTGGTGGAGGGTTACGACACATTTATAAATAAACGCGATCTAACCCAAAAACCTTTATTATGAATGATATGCTAATTAAAATCATCATTATTATAAAATAACCATATCATGATTATATATTATAATTAATTAGCATTACATTACAATAATGGTTGTCATTGCGATCGCAGGAGTCACAGAGTCCTTCCCCGAGAGACGACACTCACTGCTCTCCGGCTCAGGCCTGGCACTTATCGTCGGAGCAGCGAGCGGAATCCTCATCATCTTCCTCCTCGTCCTCCTCGCCCTCGTCGCCTGCCGCCTCCGTCGCCAGCGTCATCATCAGCAGCAGCAGCAGCACCAGCACCACCACCACCAGCAACAGCAGCAGCATCATCATCATCAGCTGCACAACAGCAACAACATCAGCAGCGGCGGGATGCCGAGCAACAATTACCAACAGCTGCAGCAGCATCATCTTCTCCAGCAGCAGCAGCAGCAGCATCATCAGCAGCAGCAGCATCATCATCAGCAGCATCATCAGCATCATCATCATCAGCAGCAGCAGCATCATCAGCTGAGCCGCAGCATCAGCATCAGCACGGACGCGATGATGACGCGGCGTGACTACGCTCACGCCCGGACCCTCGTGGCCTCCCCCGTGGGGGCCCCCCTCCCCTCCGCCCCTCCCCTCGGCAAGGAGGGGGGGATCAGCGGGATTGGGGGGGGTGCAGGGGGGGGTGACGTGGCGCTGCTGCAGTGCCCCCACTATGAGAAGGTCAGCGGGGACCGGGGCCACCCGGTGTACATCGTGCAGGAGGGGGTCCAGACGGGGGCCCCCCCGCACAGTCCCGCGGGGGTCTACTACAGGGTGTGAGGTGGGGGGTGGGGGGGGGAGGTGTTTGTTGGATGAACGTTGAACTTCTTTCGCACCGTACGTAGCCGACCGTTGCTAAATCGGAGGTGCAATGGGGGCGGCGAAGGGGGGGGGGGGGTGGCTGTGTAAGTACGACAAACTAAACAACACACAACGCAGTTCTGAAGAAAGGAGCTTTCCCAACCGAGATGATTTAAAGGATGGAGGGAGGGCTGCGGGTCGGGGGGGGGGCGAGGGGGGAGAGAGTGGAACAGAGAGTAAGGAAGTAGGAGAGAGAGAGAGAAGGAGAGAGAGACGGAGAGAGAGGGGGAGAGACTTGAGAGGGAGAGATAGATGGAGCGAGAGAGAATAAGAGAGACGGGGAGAGAGAGGGAGAAGGAAAAAGAGGGAGGGGGTGGGGGAGGCAGAGAGGGAGGAAGTAGGAGAGAGAGAGAGGGAGAGAGACGGAGAGGGAGGGACTGAGAATTTTGACTTTTAAACAACTTTTATTGCCGCCAGCAGCAACAGCACTGCAGGCGATTCCGATACGAAATACACAAAGTCACCAGCAACACAAATACACAAAGTCACCAGCAACACAAATACACAAAGTCACCAGCAACACAAATAATCGCTATGAATCCACGCGCTGTGGCGCTAAATGCGCCGCGCACAACACGAAATAAAAGTCACGTGGTGGTGGTGGTGGTCATCGCGCACGTCACGATGACGAGCGAGCGCTTCAGAAGGTGAACACATGGGGTGGTGCCGTCCACGCCGGTACAGAGAGGGGCTTGTCCGGCTCCCCAGCGTTCTAAGAAGACGCGCTGCACATCACCGACACGTGTGTGTGGTACGTGGCGTGCTCCAGCCGGAGCCGCGCCTTGAGCAGGCCCCTGAACACTGGAAGCAGCACAGAGCAGCCGTCAGTGTCACCTTGCAGCATCTTTTACCTCGTTCTGTACACCGCCAACTTCGCCTGAGCACAGGCGAAGTTGGCGAGGTCATGGCGCTTGTTAGCTAGGTAAGGCACCACCCCCCATATACGAAGCTGCTGTTGTAGAAGGGCACCCCCAGTTTCCTGAAGATGTTCCCCAAAAGGCGGAACATTGAGTTTGAGCCGCTGGCAGTGTAAGTACCGGTGGGGCAGATCCTCCCTGGCACCGCAGGAAATGCACCAAATCTGTTACCCCTGGCGAGATTCGGCTGAGCCACACGGCCGATGGCAACGTGCAGTGTGCCAACCTCCACCGGAGGTCACCGCAGCGTTTGGCTACGGGAGAGACTTTGTACATTTGTTTACACTGAGGGGCGACCGCAATGAGGGGAGACAAATGGTCTCTCCATTTTGTGTTGTCCGGTAGGTCGGCCAGGTCCCGGGAATGCAGCGCCTTGACACAGCCACGTGCAGAGCGCCGTGTTTGGGGCACTCTTCAGGGGCACGTTCCTGCAGCCTCGGAGCTTCAGTAGCTTGCCGGAGTCGCTGTGGCCAGGGGGCTGTGTGCAGGAGAAGCACAACTCCTGGAAGGAGAAGGGGGGGGGGGGGGGAGAGGGCTGCCACCATCCCCCCGGTGCCTCCAACTGCAGGCGCAGCTCCTTCATGGCACGGAGCGACGTCCCACAACAGATTCTCCCCAGCAAGCATGGAGCGGAGTCCCGCGGTGTTGGTGATCTCAGCTGCGGTCTGCCACTTGGGCTGGTGGGCCTGCACGAGGTGGAAGACTGTCCGCAGCCCTGCTGATGTGAGGCGTTGAGCCAGGGTCCCCTCTCCTCTGATTCCCTGGAAGAGGCCGTTGCAGAACAAGGGGCTCGTTCAGGAACTGCGTGAGGTCGTAGGGCGCGTGCGTTCTGCTCCGCTCGAAGCTCCGCCACGCGTCCAAGAGGCTCCGGTGATAACCTGGCAGCCTCGTGTAGTCGACCAGGCTTAGGTCCATCAGGAAGAGCTCCTTTCCGTACCCCAGGCACCCCCCTGCATTCCTCTGCAGGGCGAGGGCCGGCGACTTCCAGGGTAGCTCCACCCGGTCGTACAACAGCCGCCTGATGGCAAAGAGTCTAAAACTCATGACCCTGGCGGCGACGTCCACCAGACCCTGGCTGCTCTTGGCCACCAGCAGGCAGAGAACGCCCGGCCCGAGCCGGTGCTTCCCATGCCACACAAAGTGCGCGAGTGAGCGGTTCACTCTGGTGAGTAGCCAAGCAGGAGGCTGGAGGGCCTTGGTCTTGTGCTACAGCACGGATGCTGCCAGTGTGTTAACGACGAGCACTCGGCCCCTGAAGGACATCTGTGGAGCGAGGCGTGGTGCCCATGTCAGTAATTTAGCCTCGAGTGTGTCGGCCAGCTCGGTCCAGTTGTTCAGAGCGACGTCACGTGGTTTCCCCACTGTGGTTTCCCCAGGTAAACCCCCAGGTACTTGACTCCGTCGTCCTGCCAACTGACTCCTCCTGGGAGGGGCACAGAGCGAACGCCGCCTCGTGACCCCAAACACACAGGGGGGGGCCTCGCACTTGGCCCAGTTGACCCTGGCGGAGGAGGCCCCTCTCGTACACTGCAACCGCCTGGCAGAGCGCGGAGGCGTCATGCGCATCGTTGAGCACGATGCATCACGTCATCGTCTGTGTAAGCCGAGAGCTTGATGACCGCGTTCTCAGGTCCCGGGACTGAGAGGGAGAGAAAGATGGAGCGAGAGAAAATAAGAGAGGGGGGAGAGAGACAAGGAGAGAAGGTGGGGGGGGGGCGGTGAGAGAGTAGGACAGAGAGGAAGTAAGAGAGAGAGATAGAGACAGAAATGGAGAGTTAGATGGAGCGAGAGAGAATGAGAGAAGGGGGAGAGAGAGAGAGAGAGGCAAAGGCAGAGAGAGAGACAGAGATGGAGAGTTAGATGGAGCGAGAGAGAATGAGAGAAGGGGGAGAGAGAGAGAGAGGCAAAGAGAGTGAGGGATCCCGAGAGAGAGCGGGGAAGATGCACACCAAGAGATATGGGGGGAGAGAGGGGTAGAGTGAAATGTGGAATGGAGTGAAAGTCGAGGCTGTCCACCGTCTTTGTTCTGAAAACGAACACACATGCTATGCCCGAAAACAAACTGTTCCGTTCAGAACAAGCGCCTTGCGGAGCCCGGTTCCTCCGGAGCGAGAGAACGCCGCGTCGAGGGAACGGCGGAGGAGCTTTGAAGGGACTTGCCGTGGGGATCGATGGCGAGGGGGGTAGACCGGTTGGGAATCAGGGTCGTTGGTTCCACGCCGCTTCTGTTCCGGCTCGGTTCCGGACTTGTTCCAGCTCGGTTCCGGACTGGATCTAGCTCGGTTTCGGCTCGGTTCCAGCTCAGTTCCGGTCTGGTTCCGACTCGGTTTTGGCTCGGTTCCGGACTGGTGTCGACCGCTACGGGACCTCCCCTAGGTCGACTCAGCTCTAAGAGGATCACCCCCCCCCCGCTCCCACCTGCGGATCCAGAGTGTGAACATCGGTACTGGGGAGACAAAGGCGGATGGGCAGGTGGGTGGGTGGGTGGGCGTGGTGCCGATAACGAGAAGGCTCCAGCCGCGCTGGAGATGGAGCGACGAATTCAAGGGGGGGTGGCGACGTCTTGGGCAAGTCACCATCCAGCAGTGGATTGACCACGACCGCTGCTGTTGGCGACGACGCCAACGACGCCGACGGGGGATCGCCGACGGGGGATCGCTGACGGGGGATCGCCGACGGGGGATCGCTGACGGGGGATCGCCGACGGGGGATCGCTGACGGCGCGAGAGGCCCCCAACGTCTCCACGACGTCACGGCCAGCGGCCACCCTCTCCCGGGCGGGGGTCTGCCGAGGGCAAAGGCGCAGCGCTGCAACAACTTGCCCCGGCTCGCGGCCCGTACTGGCGGGGTGGGGGGGAGGGGGTGGTGGCGGAGATCGAACCGGAAATCCATCTTCCTCTCACCTCCTCCTGTGCACCATCCTCCTCCAACTGCTCCACCACCTCTCACCATCACTATCGCCCCCCCCCCGCCCCGCCCCCATGAGGCAGCCAATGAGGGTTGATCGCGTCACGGGGCCTGCGTGTGTCGTCACGGGGCCTGCGTGTGTCGTCACGGCCCGCGTGTGTCGTCACGGGCCGTGTGTGTCGTTCCTGAAGAAGCACATTCCACCACGTGGTGCGACTACACGCGGGAGAGACCCCAACGCCCAGGCAGGGAGGCCAGCGTTGCCCTTTCTCATAATCTCATCGCCGTGCGGTTCGACTTTTAAAACAACGTTTTATATACAGTATATATACTGTATATATAGTATACATACTCTATATATAGTATATACAGTATACATACTATATATACAGTATATACTGTGTATACATACTATATATACAGTATATACTGTGTATATAACAGAAGACGTCAAAAACGTTGCACGCTCACTCTTAGCTTATTTTTTTGTAATTTTCTTTTTAAATCGGCGAATGGGAACGCACAGACCGCATCCGACCAATCGGATCAGCCCCCCCGCCCCCCCCCCCGCCCCCCCCGTCGTGCCTGGCTCAGCTCCCGCTCAGCCTCAATCACCTCTCCTCCTGCTCAACGCGGCCTCAAGCGGCCGCTCAGCTTCTCAGAGTGAGCGGCTCAGCCGTGGCACGCCTCCGGCTTGCTTATGGCTTGGCTGCAGCTCGGCTCTTGCGCGGTTTTGGCACGGCTCCAGTTCGGTTCTCGTTCGGCTCTGGCTCGGCTCTGGCTCGGCTCTGGAACGGCTCTGGCTCGGCTCTGGCACGGCTCTGGCACGGCTCTGGCACGGCTCTGGAACGGCTCTGGCACGGCTCTGGAACGGCTCTGGAACGGCTCTGGCACGGCTCTGGAACGGCTCTGGAACGGCTCAGGAACGACTCTGGCACGGCTCTGGCACGGCTCTAACTCGTCTCTGGCTCGGCTGCTGCTGCTACTGGGATGCACTGCTCGGAGCCGGCTCACTCGAGTCGGAGCCGCGCCAGAGCCGCGCCAGAGCCGACCCGTGACAGAGTACGTGGGGGGTAGGTGGGGGCTAAGGGGGGA